AGAGAGAGAGAGAGAGAGAGAGAGAGAGAGAGAGAGAGAGAGAGAGAACTTCATTAGTTTTCACACCTGGCATTGGTTTTCAGTGGTGGTGACAGTGGTGACAGGTAGGGTCACAGACAGTTTTGCTCACATGTGGGCCCAGTGACTCCAGCAGGGCTCTATCACCCACTCACAGGTTGAGAAACACACACATGCGAAGCTATATGTAAGGGCCCAGCAACAAGGCCCAGCCCCTCTCCAGAGGAAATAACTACCCAGGGGGTAGTTGTGAAAGGGGTGGAAGAAGCGGAGAAATGAGCTCAGCCAGCTGCGTCCTCAAGGCCACTAGAGGGCGCAAGGACCACACTGGGAGCCTGGCAGACCTGGTCCAGCTCAGAGGGGAGAGGGTATCAGTCTTGCCCCTTTTGCCCAAGAGAGGGGATTAGGCTGAAGGTTTCTTGAGGGGTTGCCACGTTGCTTTTCCTGAAACCATCCAGTCCCTTTCAAACAATTGACCTTGAGACAGTCCAGCCAGGCAGTTATAAACGCTCTGTGCGTAGTCTTTGTCTTATGTATAGGGTCTATCTACAGAGTCTCACGGGCATTGAACTCAGGCCCTTGCACTTGCCAGGGAAGCACTTATTCTAAGCCATACATATCCCAGGCCCTTTGGCCACGTAGTGATCCTCCTGTTTTCAGCCTCCCAAGCACTGGGATTACAGGTATGCACCACCACACCAATCTTGTGTTTTGTTTTATATGTGGCTTTTTTGTTTGTTTTTTTGAGATAAATTCTTGTTTTGTAGAGTTCAGGCCCTGAACTCTCTACACCGTCCAAGCTGGCCTTGACCTTACAGCCTCCTCAGTCTCCCAAATTCTGGGATTACAGGTCTGTGCCACTATGCCCAGCTTCTGTTATTTTTAGTCTCATTGAATTAACACAGAACAAATTGTAAGTATTTAACATATATAGCACGCTAGACTTTTGTTCAGGGTGGGGGTGGGGACTGAATCCAGGGGCTCATGCATGTTAGACCAGCACTTGGCCACTGACCTGCAGATATAACTTTTTATTTGTGTATATTTTTGATGGTACTGGAAATTGAACCTAAAATCACTCTATTGCTAAGCTACTTCAAGCCCTTTTATATTTTTTGCTTTGAGACAATATTGTTGTAACCCAAAAATCAAAAACAGACTCAACTTAAAAGCGCTTTATTTAGCTTAGCTCAGCGGCAGCACAAGTAGGTGCGAGCTTAGTCTAGGTGAGGCACAGTTTTTAAAGGGAAAAACCACAAGAGTGGGGGAAGGAGGGGGGATTTTACAAAGCTTATTTTGAGTTAGTCATGACCGAGGGTTAACTCTTTGTTCCCATAGAGGAGGTCACATTTTGCAAACTCTACAGGAATATGTCCTTGATTGGCTTAGGCATTGCTTATGTTCCAGTAGTCGGAAGGACATCAGATGACAGTTTCACCCATTTTCAAGCGACCTATTAGTTCCCGTAGGAAGGACAGTTTAACTCATTTTGCAGAATGTTGAGGAACATTTCTTATCTTCTCTCGGAATGCTGAGAAACACTTTCTTTAAACAGTCACATTCTTCAGGGAAGGCATGGGGGGGTGGCAAAACAAATCAAGGTTTTACAAAATGGAAGTTACAAAGTTTGTTACAAGATAGAGTTTAGGTTGTCAGCTTATACCAAATAGTCCTTGTTAATAAAGTTACAGTGGAAACATACAGAGTTACAAAATTGGAATCAATTGCACAGGTTATAACAAATATCACACTAAGGTTGCCCAGGCTGGGCTTGCACTTGTGGGCATCCTTCTTGGATTTATGAGTGGCTGGTGATATGGTTTGTTTCTAGGTATCCCCCAAAGCCTCATGTAGTCACTGGGGTGGGCTTGTAGAGTTTGTGATTAATTCATGATCCACCAGTGGGATTATGGGTGTAAATGCTGCTGGGATTATGGGTGTAAATGCTGCTGGGATTATGGGTGTAAATGCTGCTGGGATTATGGGTGTGAGTACTACACCTCCCTGAGAGAGATAGCCTGAAGACAATATAAGGAAGGGAGAGAGGGTTGCCTCTGCTGCTGCCTAAACTGTCACTGCTCCTCCCTTTTGCTCTAGCTGATTTGCTGCTTTTCCACTGCTATGAGCAGCTGCCCTCTGCCATGTACCACTCTGCCTTGGAACCTGCTGATTATGGACTGAAAACTCCTCAAACTGTGAGCTAAACAAACTTCTTCTTCCTTAATTCTATTTTTTTCTTCCTTAATTCTAGGTGTCAGGTATTTTGTTCCAGCAATGAGAAAAGTAACCAAGACAGCTGATATACGGGCATGTGTCACCAGCAGAGGTTTTAACTTTCGATGAACTCCAATTTGTTCACTTTCCTTTCACGTATTATTCATTTGGTTTTGTATCTAAGACATTTTGCCTTTTGTATGAGGTAAAAATCCAAGTTAACTTATTTCCTCGTGGATGCCCAATTATTCCTGAACTTCTGGTTCAAAGACTCTTCTTTGTCCACTGAATTATCTTTGCACCTTTGTCAAATATTAATTGGCCATATATGTATGGCAGGTCTATTTCTAGAAGACTAAATCAGCTGTTTTTACATGTAATATTCCAGGCTGGCCTCAAACTCCAGGTGATCCT